ATTGATGATATAAATCTTTTTCTTTATTTTATAAAGTATAGAGTCTTCAACTGTTTTATAAATTAATTTAAAAATTAAATATCATGCACATGTTATATGATATAGTTGGGGTAGACATGAAATCACAATGTAGATTTTCTGTATTTTAGTTGATGATATGATTTAACTTTTCTACTATCACAGGCTTTGGGTATAAAATATTTAGGTATATATTTATTTACTTTTGATATTTGAAAAAAAAATATTATTACATTAACTGTTTATTATTTATATACTATTGTGTATCAAATGAATTAAAAAAAGACACATATTTTATGTTCTTAATTTAGAAGAAAATAAACATAACCATAAATTAATGTAACTAATTATTTTTGTAAAATAAAAAAAAATTTGACATCAAAAATATTTAATCAAAAAATATTTTCCACCATATAATATTTTTTTACTAATAAAACTGCATATAAAATCATATATTGGTCTTCAAGACCATTTGAATGTCATCAATTAGAGTTGATTGAAAGTATGTTTATTTATGAAATACAATATGTATTTGTAATGATTTCGGTACAAGTAAATAATCATAAGACAATATTCTGTAATTACTGCTCCATTGCGTGTGTTTAAGGTAGAAGTTTTGTATAAATGTATTGCTATGTTTTATAATTATATCAGTCTGAATAATTGTACTACAAAATTTAAAGATCAAATAAAACTTGAAAACATCTTTGTAATCAGAAATCTGTATAAAGCCACCTAGTAAAAATTAGCACATATTATATATTAACAAAAAATACATCATAAAATCAGAAAAATATTTGTTATGTGAAACTTAAAAATTACCTATTTTCCATTCAATTATCCATAAATTTAAAGCACACATCATAATACTCATCTAGTTCATCGACAAAGTTTCCAAACACAACAACCTTGATTTCATTTGCATGGAAATAATTGAAAATATAATAAATTGTAGGTTGGAAATATAATGTATATAACAAAACAAACTATTAAATTTAAGATGTAATGAATATTGGTAGAATTTTGATATGTTTTCGCTATTATAGATTATATAGAATATGATGTGACATATAAAATTTATTATAATTAGCTTCTATAAAATATTTATTTAAACAAATATATGAATTTTTCTATCATATATATTACTAGGTGATCGGTCCGCACCGTGTGCGGGCTATAGAATAATATATATATTACATATATGATTTATATTATATATTGAATATGCTTTATTTGTATATTATTAATTATATATTAATAATAACATTATATAAATATTTAATAATAAAATAATAATAAATCAAATGAAAAATGTTATATATTTCAATAGAAATTGAAGATAAAAAAAAAACATTAACCATAATTTTTAAAATAATTCATTAAATAAAAAATGTAAATACGATAAATAAATAAAATGAAAACTTTAAAATATATAATAATTTATTTAATTTTTATGGTTGGTCCACACGCATATGCAAGTATAATTTTTTTATAGACATAATTAGTTGTAATATTTAAGTAATGATTAATTTTTTACACATTATGTAAGCGTTATATTTTTATACAGATATAATTTTAGTGTTTAACAACAATTACACAATTATTTCATATCATTTTGTGTCTTTAGAAAACTTATTATGTAACGTTACGTTTTTATAAATATACAATTTCAATGTTCAATAACAATCACACAAACGTTTCATATCGTTTTTGTGTCTTTTGAAAACTTTTTATTTTTTCTAGCGCTTAGAGTAACATATAATTGCATATGTAAAAGTTATATTAAATAATAATTAAATTCGTATAATATGTTTTGAATATTATCTATATTTGTTGGGACCGATAAGACCAGGCCCAAAGAAGACTCGACACGTGGACACCAATCTGCCCTAGACACTGACACACGCCATGCTAGCTCGGTCGAACCACTCCCGCGTACTGTTCTAGGGCAGTTGGCAAGCTTTCCCAAACACGCAAGAATCATCATCACACCTGCTTCCCTCGCGCGCCGAATGGAGAAGACAGGACAAGGAGACTGCTAGTATAAAAGGAGAGAGATCATCACACCAGAAGGGGATCAGCTCGACGGACCTGAAACCCCTCTCAAAGAAGAGGTTTCCGACCAAACCGAGTCAACCGGCCCCGACGAGCAGCATGATCAAGGGGGAACCCTTTGTTCCCCCAAGTGAATGCCTTCCAAGATAAGTCCATCTTGACCCAGAACCCTGCCTTTATACTTGCTGCATCTCCTTCCTTCCGTATAGAACACCCTCCAAAAAACTTGTAAAACAGATAGATGTCTTGATCCCCAGATGAGACTTCTCACATCAAACCCGTAGAAACACCCCTCCTGAGTACTTGTTCCCGGTAGGACGTTCATTGACTTGGGCGTCAGAGAATCTTCGGGAAGGAAACCCCCTTTCAGTCATCCAGGAGGCCCGAATGACCTCTTGTGTAGTGTTTGCAGGATCTCATACGATGACCACCCCATTACCAGGACTCAAGCAGGCTTCCACCCCGGAATGAATCGTCGCCTTTCCCCGAGAGGATGAAACTCAGAGGTACAGTTCCAACTCCCGGACGAATTGTACACCCTCACCTGGCATCCTAATATTTGCTCCGGAACAATTGGCGCTAGAAGGTGGGGGGATCACCAGCGAGCGTTCCACGAAGGAAGCGGTCTACACGAGCCAACTATGCAAAAAAAATGTAGAAGGCCTGCAAGCCACGGTTCTACTCAACAAAACTCGAGGCTTCGAGACAATCATGCGTACTGGCCCCGAAGCCGAGAAGTCAGATCTACAAAAACGAAGCAGAGTACGAAAGAAGTGCATAAAAGACAAAGATATGTGGAGCAAATTGAAGTGCATTAAAAATGAAAAGCAAACAGGCCAAAAAAAACGGCCACCGATCCAGGTTTGGGGTTACAACTTACAGGGGACAAAATTCACCGAAAGAAAATATTTTAGTTTAAAAACCTGGCGGGCATGAAGATCCTGTTGGTGAAGAAGAGCCAGCACCTCCAGCGCCTCCAGCGCCTCCGCTCTGTCGACGTTCCTTCTTGAGCTCACGCTTGAGCATGCAGATCATAGCCAGGCTGCTCGTGAAGACCTCTCCCGCCATCAACGCCAGGTCTATCTCGCCCCCCGAAGTGAGCCCTCGGTATACCATGAGGGTTTGGTGGAGCATCTGCACTTCCAAATTGCGAGCCTCCAGGTCCCGCTGGCTATCCGTCGGCGCCAAAGACAGGCGCTCCATCTCCACGCTTAGATCTTCCCCCCGAGCGAAAGTCTAGGCCTCAGCGAGTTGGTCTCGGGTCACTAAGAGTTCAGCCTGAAGCTCGCTAGTCCTGTCAGTGAGGCCTCGTTCCTAATGCTCAGCTGCGTGGAGCTCGTGTTCCAGCTTCTCAAGCGAGTGTTAGCTATGTCAAAAGCAAAAATAGCAAGTAAGAGACGAAGAACCAGGAAGTGAAAAGGGAGGAAGCTCTGAAAGAAGAAACTTACCGCGTCCAGCGAGTGCGTGAGCTCCAAGGCGGTCAGCCGCCATCCGATCAGCTCGCAGGTTAAGGGAGCGGACAGATGGGGAGGCACGAATATCAGCTCCGACCCAAAAGAGATGCTCATCGCCTTCGGCGAGCCCTGCGCGAAGGCCAGAACGAAGCCTCCCCTTCGGGGTAGTTAGCTCGAGGTCTTCGGTGCGGCGTCTGGACGGGCGTCCTCCGTGCACCCCGTGTAAACTTCATGTTGGGCAAGTGACCCGCGGGAGCGTAAAGATCGCAGATCTCCTTGATCCGGTCTCGGGAACCTGCCGAATTAGAGTCAGTAAGTGAGAATCGTAGGACTAGCGTGTGCTCAGGAGCCGAAGAGTCAGGATCGTTACCTGGGACATCCGGCATCACGCGAGACGTGAGGACAAGAGAGCTCGCTCCGATGCTCGTCGGTGAAAGCAGGATGTCGAACGATCTGAACTGCTCGTCTAGCGCGAGCATCCGGCACAGCCCGACCTGTTCGAATGCCGACATTAACGCAGAACCTGACAAAGCAGAAACCAGCGGTTAAAAGAAAGTTTTGACGACCAGGGTAAACGTAAGAAGAAAACAACAGTTACCAGTCCTACCCCGTGCGCGCCAAGTGTGCTGGACGCTGACATCCGGAGGCACCGTCCAGAAGAAATACCGCTCGCGCTAGTCAAGGCTCCCTGAGTGGTCCCCATGGATGGCGACGGCGCAATCGTCTCTGGTGTGCAGGGTATAACAAAAAGCGTCGGTGGTCAGGTTGCGGAGCTGGTAGGACAGCAGCATCGTGGAGCCGCGGATGCAGATCCCAGACAGGTCCGAGAAGACCTGGTAAGCGCAAATGAGACCCCACGTCGAAGGGTGAACCTGGCTGGGGCAGATGCCGACGAATCGTAAAAAGTCGACCACCATCCGGGGCAGGCTGTCCCGGAATTCGTACAAGATGCAGTCATCATGGATCACGATACAGTATTGTGGCGGGCGGTCCGCTCGGTCCCCCTCACCAGGGAAGATCGGGGTGAGGCGGGAAGAGTAGGAGAAGTTCGTCGACAGGACCCTCTCCAGGGAATCTGGCGAGCATACTGAATGAGGATGGTCGGAAGTGACATCCGTCAGAGGCGTTTGAGCGATGCTCTCGACTTCGCCCCAGGACCACGAGAAGCGAGCATTCCACTCGTCAGACGGGGAACTTGAAGCTGACATCTCCACTGATCTAGAAGAGGGATGTATGGCATAAAAGAAGAATTTGAAAAGAAAGAAATATGCAGTTCGCTTCAAAAATGGAATGAAACCACAGAAGTGCGGATTTCGCAGTTTATAGGAGATGACGAAATCAAAGCGACATGCGAGGAGAATCATGTCGGTCAGGCAAAGCCAAAAGTCACCAATACCACCTTTTTATCACTGCTTTTGTTTTGGTTCAAGATTCAAAACTGAAGATCTTTTGTGTGTTCTCTGGTTCTTACAGGCCTTGCATGACTGGCTAACATATGCACTCAATCTCAATAGCTTACAATCAACTTTAATATGGATACTTTGTGATCTTGAGAACAAGATGATATATGTGGAGAGAATGCTTCAATACACAAACATCCCCAGTGAACCACCTCTCGTGATTGAATCAACTCGGCCTGAGAAATCATGGCCTTGTCATGGAGAGATTACTATTTGTGATCTGCAGGTGCGATATGGTCCACATTTGCCTATGGTGCTTCATGGATTGACATGCACTTTTCCAGGTGGCCTGAAAACCGGAATCGTTGGAAGAACAGGATGTGGCAAATCCATTCTGATTCAAACTCTTTTTAGGATTGTGGAACCAACAGCTGGAGAAATCAGAATCGACGGAATAAACATCTTGACCATTGGACTGCACGACTTGCGTTCCAGACTGAGTATCATTCCTCAAGATCCAACCATGTTTAAAGGAACGGTTCGTAGTAACTTGGACCCTCTTGAGGAATACAATGATGACCAAATCTGGGAGGTTCGTTGGCTCTTGTTTCTATCTATGTTTCTGCAGGATAGCAAAAGGAAGCTTCTCATACTGTTTTGGTTTCTTGTCTTAGTCACTTGACAAGTCTCAACTCGGGGATGAAGTGAGGAAGAAAGAACTAAAGCTAGACTCCCCTGGTTAGTATAACACTACAGTAAAAAAGATTCATCTTGAATCTCTTAAACATACATCTAGTACATGAAACTCGAACGTTTATTTATTTATTTCAGTTAGCGAGAATGGACAGAACTGGAGTGTTGGTCAGAGACAACTGGTGTGTCTTGGACGAGTCTTGCTAAAGAGAAGCAAAGTATTGGTTCATAATTATTTGTCTCTTGATTCGTGCGTGGGAACTGACACACATTTAATGCAGAGAGAAAAAGGCAGCCAGGAAAAGTAACCGGCGGTTCTTGAGAAGTGACGCGCCGCACTTCAAACCACCAGAGGCCCGCCACGTGAACCACACTCACCAGCATCGGTTTTACCAGGCCCAAAGGGGATTCGACACATGGACACTAAACTGCCCTAGACACTGACATAGGCCATGCTAGCTTGGCCGAATCACTCCCGCGTACTGTTCCTGGACAGTTGGCGAGCTTCCCCAAACACGCAAGAATCATCATCACACCTGCTTCCCTGGCGTGCCGAATGGATAAGACATGAAAAGGAGACTGCTAGTATAAAAGAAGGGAGATCCCCACACCAGAAGGGGATCGGCTTGGTGGACCTGAAACCCCTCTCAAAGAAGAGGTATCCGATCAAACCGAGTCAACCGGCCCTGACGAGCAGCATGATCAAGGGGGAACCCTTTGTTCCCCTGAGTGAATGCCTTCCAGGATAAGTCCCTCTCGACCCAGAACCCTGCCTTTATACTTGCTGCATCTCCTTCCTTCCGTATAAAACACCCTCTAAAAGATTTGTAAAACAGATAGATGCCTCGATCCCCAGACGAGACTTCTCACATCAAACCCGTAAAAACACCCCTCCTGAGTACTTGTTCCCGGTGAAACGTTTATTGACCACCCCGTTACAAGGACTCAAGCAGGCTTCCGCCCCGAAACGACTTGTTGCCTTTCCCCCCAGAGGATGAAACTCGGAGGCACAACTCCACCCCCTGGATGAATCGTACACCTCCACGTGGCATCCCGAAATTTGCTCCTGAACAATATTATATTATTTTTTCCCTTGCACAATATAATCTTGTCAATATATATATTTTAAGAATATATTTTTCCTTCACCTACTGATAAGTATACATTCTTCCTTCAACTTCTTGTCAATATTATGTTTCTTTTTCCAGTACGTATACTAAGAGCAGATAGATGGTTGGTCTGCACATTCGTGCGTACCAACCACCTCACCGCTCTTTAACATATAGAGATTTTTTTAATAAATACAAATTGACTAATAACTAAAATTAAAATTAGACTGTAATCAAGGTTAAGAAAATTATGCACGATAAGTTTGCATGCGACTTTGGATTTTGCACAACTAATATTTATATCTACATGCATTTTGTAAAAAAAATCGAATTATGGTTTTTATGTGTTAAAAGAAAATAACAATATATATATTTTGTAATATATATTTTTATAATGTATGATTGCATTTTCTTTATAAAACTAATATGTATATTTATGCATGTAGATATGAGTTATACATAAGTGAATTGTAATATTTAGGTGTTGGTTAGTTTTTCTGATATTTTCCGCAAATGTTATGATTTTACACGATACAATTTTTGGCGTTTAACAACAATCACGAAAACCGTTTCTATCATTTTGTATTTAATCAAAATTTCTTATTTTTTAGCGTTTTATGATATATAATTTCTTAATAAAAATTATAATAAAGTTATTAAAAAACTTGTGAATTCTTATCTTATAAAATTCTCCGGTAGCTCTTCGCTCATCTCTTCGTCAAATATTTTATAGCCCGTAATCGCTCACTTCCACAAACTCTCTGTAACCGCAACTTTAAAACCAGCCGGATCCTAAACTTATATGTGTATGGTTGAAAATGTAAAATAATATATTTAATATTTAGTTTCTATATTAAAAAATAAGAGTTCTTTTGTTCCTAACTTTGATATATGTGTTAATCTTATATATAATGGATCATAACATATACAAAACTTCATTCATGAAATAATATTTTTTTTTTTTGTCAACAGCCTCGAACTTACAATGGTTCAGAAATCCAAACCGGTGGAGTTGACTTTACATAATTTAAGCTAAAAAAGTAGTTTCAAGCACTCCGTACTAACTTGTCTGCCTTTGTATTTTGATCGCGTGGGATGTGTAAGATGGAAAAAGATTGAAATTCCTTTCTGCTTGTCTCATATTCCTCCAAATGTAATTCGAAGGCCGGGCATTCATCTGGTTTGGACACCATCTTCACCAATTCAGAACAGTCTGTAACAAAAGCCATCGCTAATCTTCTTGCGTTGAGCATGCAGTGCATTGCCCAAATCAGAGCTTCCAGCTCTGTATGTAACGGAGAATTGCTTCTTCGTACGTTCTTTGCCCCCATTAACGTAACTTCTGATTCAGTTCCTGGACAGTACCATCCTAATCAAGCGTTTGCTGCTGTATCCTTCCATGATCCATCTGTATAACATATTAAACCCTCCTGCCGCACCATTAACCCTTCATCTGAATTTGGGTGGTGAAATTGTGCCCGGTCAATCTGAGCCGAACTCCATGATATTGCTTCTGCCTGTGCAATTCTTAAGACTTCCATGAAATAATGTTTTAAGATGTTGAAAAGAATATATGCATGAAAGAATTAATATGTATAAGATAATATTTCTAAATATTTGAAAATAAAAACATAAATTGATCAAAATTATTCTTTTTTTCTCTTCTTTGACTCATATATTGTTTCTTAACCTTGAATAATATATTGAACATTAAGATCATCTTCAATGTATTTTTCTATTTTTCTCTCTAAAATATAAGTGGATTTCTCTCCAACCTATTTCTATTTTAAATAAAAAAGAAAGATTGTTACTTGTCCTCCAATTATAGATGAAAAAATAACATCGCTATTTTCCTCTAAATTAGAAGATTTAAAATAAAGGTGAATAAGAGATGCTTCAAACCAAAGACGTAGCCTGAGATTTTTACAGAAAACCAAAGTCGTAAAAATTTATTTGTACTTTTACTTCTACTTTTTATTAATATGTTATTTATATCAAATAAAAATTTATAATAAATATTTGTTATAAAATTTGTGAAATCATATTTTAAAAAATTCTTCGGTAGTTGTCCGCTCATCTCTTTGTCCAATATTGAGGAACTGGTTTAATGAAGAAAATAAATTTCTTATGGTTGGTCTGCACACATATAATCATTATAAAAATTGAGTCACACAAAATGCATTTATTACAAAAAAAACTCTGTAAAACAAAGTTTGAGAGTGTTTTGAAAAAACAAAACTATAGAGATTTGTTTTTATTTTTACTTCTACTTCTTATTCATATTTATTTTTTTTTATTTATAATTTGTTTTCATCTCGTTACATTGCGTTTTATTTCTGATCTCAAATTATTGATCTACAATGAGACTGTATATGAGTTTGATATAAACTTTTAATTTATTTAAAAAAAGTTGAGAAATAAAATGAGATGGTAATGTAAGCTCAGAAAATAATAATATAAAAATATTAAAAAATTATATACAAATAATAATATATCATACTCCGAACATTATTAATATATAGCGTATATATCTATTATTATTTTTCTATATAAAAAATATATAATATATATTGGTTGTAAAATTTTTGTAATCATATATTATGCAATATATTATGAATATATTTAAAAATAAATTAAAATCATTATAATTATTATTTTATGTTAATTTAAATTTATTATTTTTAGTGTTATAATTTAGTGTATTTATGTTATAATTTTATAATTTATTTAATTATAGTTTAACCAATCAAAACATATTGTTTACTTTAGGAAATTTGCATGTCTTATTTTCATGTTACCATTAATTTACACAGACTTTTGCTAAGGTGGTGAAGCATCAGATTTTTTCATTAAACATGCTTCTCAAATAATACTTAAAATTTTCGTACTCTAAATAAATTTCAGGAAATACTGTCATTACAGTTTATACTCGAAATCTTTGAATATGTATCGTGTAACCGAACAAAATTCTGTTAAGGAGAATTTCCTAAAAATAACCTAAAACTTGATTTCATCTCCAAAATAGACTACATATTGCATGTTTGACAAAAGTAACTCACAAGGGTAACAAAATTACAATCATAGTCCTTATGAACAAACTAAAAATGTTAGTGACAATGACAGTTTTATCTTCGAGAAGTCTACTCTCTAATAATTTCTTTAGAATTAATTAAAAAGTTATAAAAATTAATTTAGTAAAAAAATTAGATACATAACCAAAACATATATATTTTCCATCTATTAAAAATAAAATTTAATACAAAAGATTCAATTTAAATTAACATAGACAAATTAGGTTAGAAACCAATAAAATGCTAATAAGAAGTCTACTAGAGAAGTCCACTCAATCAAAAAATTTAAATGTTAATAATAAAAATTATAAAAAATAAGTTGGTAAAAAAATATCCACAACTAATATATAGATAATTAGCATCTATATAAAATAAAATTTCTTGTAAATTAGTATTTTTGCATATAAGTTTTAATCAAAAAATTTGATTTAGGGTTTAAGGTTAAACAGACTTCTTCAGTAGACATCTTAAGTAGACTTCATGGAGAAGTCTGAAATTCAAAAAACAAAAAAATATTGTGTGAAATCGAAATAATTTAACAAATTGGGTAGGAAACGGAACATAGCAGACGTAATTTGTTGGTAATCGATCAATTTTACTAGTTAAGCAGACTTCTCCAGTAAAATTCAAAAGAAGACTTCTCCAGTAGACTTCATTTGTAGATTTCAAAAAGAAGTCTGCTTAACCGAAAATTTTCCTGCATATATAAGGAGAGTTTAACCTAACTGTGTTAAAAATAATTTCTCTCTCTCTCTCTCTCACTCTCTCTCTCAAACAATGCATCTCTCTCTCCTCTCCCTCCTCTTTGGCCATGAATCTCTTCTCCTTCCTCTCTTTCCGTCAATCTCATCTCTATCCTCTCTACATTCA